CTTTGTAGGGTTTAGGGCAACCCTAAATCCTAAACCCCTAGACCCTAAACCCTAAACCCTAGACCCTAAATCCTGAACCCTGAACCCTGAACCCTGAACCCTGAACCCTGAACCCTGACTGACAAGGCAAACGAGCTCCTTCGAATGACCAACCAGCTGTCCCTGAGCTGCCTGAGCTCAGCGTTGGGAGTTGCAGTCTGTGGAGGTTAAGTGAAAGCATGCATGCAAATGCATCTTGTAAACGTGCAACGGCGCAAAATAAGTGTTCACATACATATACATACACAGTGCACTATACTTTTCTGTATATATATGTACATATGCATATACATATGCATATACATGTGCATATGCATATGCATGTCTTCCAGAAGAAGAAGACCCAACAAACAAATGCAGGCCCCATGACGCACCCATCTGTATTTGTACATAGATATGCATATATGTGCATGTATTCACACACATATACATCTGTGTATAAATTGGCGTATAGACCCCAAGCAAGACGACAGCGCGTCGCGAGCGTAACTTTCGAAAGTTGCGACTGTTCTGCACTTCACGAGGTTGACATGCGCATGGGACCAGGGCTGGGAGCGCATTTGCAACACCGCAAAGGGCGAATCGCCTTGGAATGCACGAGGCGAAGCCGTCCAAGAGCCCGAGAGGCCCGAGAGACAGGAAAGTGTATCCTTGCCACATTAGGGTTTAGGGTTTAGGGTTTGAACCCAGGGTTTAGGGTTTAGCACATTTTCTCAACAAGGAGCGATGCAAGCCTCAACAAGTGAACCTCAAGTCACTCAGGTGTTTTGCTTGCTGCGCTCGCCTTTTGTGAACATGTCTGTGAAACACGTATGCGACCCTCAAAAACCTGCCATCCGCACCAGGAAATGGGCACAGGACACGTACCAAACCCCAAACCCTGACCCCAGACCCTGACCTCTCCACTAGCCCGGCCAGGGCGCAAAGTAAACACGCAAGGCCCAATTATCGAGATTTGTTTTGGTGTCGCTCGGGGCTGTCATCCATCGCTTCCGGCATGTCCATTTTCTCATTGTAGGCTTGGTTTTAATTGAGGCGATGGCTGAAAAACATGAGCACCTCGGCATCCCTAAGCACTACGATGACGTCGATGACGATCGATAGCTGGAGCTGGGGCAAGGCGTGCAGCAAGCAGGACCGACTCAGACCTTTTTGACAGGGTGATGTCCATCAGCATGGCATGTCAAGCCGGCAAGCTTACGAAGCACTACCTTCCATGCCTTTGTTCTGTGAGAATTTTCGCCTTGTAGCAAAGGGACGATCGAAACCATCTTGTCGTTGCACATGTCTTTCGTAGATTTGCTTGCCTGCACAGCTCCGGCCGCCCGTTGATACTCACAAGGAGCGGAACAGCCCTGAATCCAAAGACATTGAAACGCAGCCTCAGACAAAACAGGTTCCCCAAAACGTGAGAAGCAACTTGGGATGTTCCCCCTTATGCTAACAGTCCTTAAGAGGGATTGCAACAGGGGGTGCGCAAAAAACCCTAGTAAGGACTGTTATAGTACAAGGGGGGGCAACCGATATCTGGTGTGTCTGCTTTCTTTTCGCTTTTCATTGCATGGGCTCCCACGGCGGGCACGGTGGTATACACTGAGAGGCTGGCCAAAGTTCCTGCATTTGGGTTGTAGTTAGTCTCGGGTTTGGGGGACTGGGGTCTAAGGTCAACATTCATAAGGTGACTACTATATTTCTGGCAGGTGAGTATCTCTCCACCTGAAACCTGAATCGCAGAAACCCTGCTGGAAGTCATGTCCCGAGGACGTGACCAGCGACAGCATGTCGCCATGTTCCCTCTGCGAAGCTGACTCGGACGCGAGAATCAACAAAGCCAGTCTGTGGTTGCTGCCACCCAGAGAGAAGGGGAGTCCTGACACCACTCCACGATGCTCAGCTGCAGTAGTTGGGTGAGGGGCGGGAGGTCTTCGGGAGGTTTTCGGGAGGTTTCCGTTAAGGTGCTAAGCTGCTAAGGGGGCGGATGAAGCTGCCGGAGGGGAACCGCAACAGAACTGGGGAACGTCAAGTTGAAGTGGAGGGTGCCGGAAGCGTTTATGGAGCAATGTCCCCACCTACACAGCGGGCCTCTAGGTTAGTGAGCATTTTGATGGAAATGGGACATAAAGAACTCGGGGGTACGCCCTACGCCCGGGTTTCACGCACGTTCCCCAATGAGCAATGAGCAGTTGTGCTACTGTACCGGTCTCGGAGAGCGCACAGAGGGGTGGGGTGGGGGGAGGTGCGCGTATGCGTTTGCGTGTGCGCGTGGTTGTTATTTTGATCATCGATTGAACGACGCTCCGATTTCAAAGTGTGTTTGTTTGTTTGTTTGTCTGTTTGTTTGTTTGTTTGCTTGTTTGTTTGTTTGTTTGTTTGTTTGTTTGTTTGTTTGCGTGTTTGTTTGTTTGTTTGT